ATTCTCAGCTGCTGAGATTCCATGGGCAGCAGCTCACTGAGGGCCTCTGGTGCCACACTGTGGAACACCACCCACCTCAGTGTATCAGCTCTGCCTGGCCCTGGGAGGGAGGCGGGGGGAAGGTGGATGGAAGAATGACCCACCCTACTTTGACATAGTGCCTCCCACAGCGTCAGGCCAACCAGGCCTTCGGTCCAACCAGTCTGTGCCGACCATGTTCCCAAACTAAACTAGTCCCACCTCCCTGCACTTGATCCATATCCTTCCAAGCATTTCTCATTCATGTACTTATCTAAATGTCTTTTAAACAATGTAGCTGTATGTGCACCCACCACTTCCTCTGAATTGTTATTCCACACACAAACCACCCCTGTTTAAAAAAATTGCCCCTCATGTCCTTTCTAAATCTTTCTCCTCTCACCTTAAAAATATGCCACCAGATCTTGAAAACCCACAGTAAGGAAAAGACACCTGCCATTCACCTTATCTACGCCCTTCATGATTTTATAAACCTCCATAAGGTCACCCTTAAACCTCCCATGCTCCAGTGAAAAAAAGTCCCAGCCTATTAGCCTTTCCTTATAACTCAAACCCTCCATTCTCCGCAGCAGCCTGGCAAATCTTTTCTGAACCCTCTCCAGCTTAATAATATCCTTCATATAACAGGGTGACCAGAACTGGACACAGTGCTCAGAAGAGGCCTCACCAACGTCCTGTACAACCTCAACGTGACGTCCCAACTCCTATGCTCAAAGGTCTGAGCAACGAAGTCAAGCTAAACGCTAAACGCCTTCTTAACCACCCTGTCTGTATATGATGCAAATTTCAAAACATTATGTACCTAAACTCCGAGGTCTCTCTACTCTGCAACACTATCCAAGGCCTTACCATTAATTGCATCAGTCCTGCTTCTGTTTGTTGTATCAAAATGCAATACTTCGTATTTATCCAAATTAAACTCCATTTGGCACTCCTCAGCTGGGTGACCCCTTTGATCAAAGTTCCTTTGTAATCTTAGAAAACCTTCTTCACTGTCCAATACGCCACATGGTCCATATTCAAAAACTATATGAGGTGTACAACCTTCATTCTATTCAACAGATCTGCAACTCCGCCCTCACCACGCAATCAATCCCCTGGACCCCTTGGTGTCAGAAACAACATTCTTCAAATAAAAGATGGTCATGGTTGTTGGAGGTCAATCATCTCAGTTTCAGGACATCGCTGCAAGAGTACCTCAGGATAGTGCCCTAGGCCCAATCACCTTCAGTTGCTTCATCAATAACCTGGAGACAGTGACGACTGCAGATCCTGGTACCTAGAGTCAATAAATGTGGAGCTGGAAAAGCACAGCGGCTCAGACAGCGTCCGAGGAGCAAGAAAGTCAGTGTTTCGGCCAAAGCTCTTAGTCAGGACTGGGGAGGGGGGAGGGGAGCCCAGAAATAAATAGAGGAGGGGGTTGGGCTGTGGGGATGGTAGGTGAGATAGAGATAAATGGTTGCAGGTAGAGGGTTATGTGGTGGGTCAGTGGGAAGGGTGAAGCAGAGAGGTGAGTAGGAAGATTGGGAGAGGAGAGATTTTGAAGCAGGTGAAGTCAATATTCAGGCCATTGGGCTGTAAGCTCCCAAGGAGAAAAAAGTGGTGTTGTTCCTCCAGTTTACATTTGGCCTCACTCTGACAGTGGAGGAGGCCAAGGATGGACATGTCACTGGGAAGTGGGAGGGGAGAGTTAAAGTGGATGGCAACTGGAAGGTCGGGTTGGTGGGTGCGTGCACAGCGCAGATGCTCTGCAAACCACATCCCACCCCACCAACCTCTGAATACAAAGCATCATCCTCTGACATTTCCGCCACCTACAATCAAACCGCACTGCCACAAGAATATTTCCCTCCCTATCCCTGTCCGCTTTCCTTAGGGACAGTGCACTCTGTGACTCCCTCGCCAGCTCCACACTCCCCACCAACACCTCCACGACAACCTGCAACCACAGGAGGTGCAACACCGGTCCCTATACCTCCATCCAAGGCCCCAGTCAATCCTTCCAAATCCAGCAAAGATTCACATGCGCTTCATCTACAGTATGCATTGCTCCCGATGTGGTCTCCTCTATATCGGGGAGACCAAATGCAGACTCGGAGACCAGTTTGCGGAGCATCTGCACTATTAGATTCACACGTGTCAGCGTCTTGTTAAAATCTGGGCAGGGGAGGGGAAATCATGCTCTTATGCGATTAACATTTGTAAAGGTCAACAAGGATTCTTCTCAGGTTTGGCATTCTTTGAAGAGCATAGGGTGTTGTGGAAGAGGAGAAACTATCGAACATCTGCATTAGGCAGCAATCCATGTTGGCTTTTTCCTGCTCTCTCCCGAGCCCCTCTCACATAACACTGTTCTTTCTAAACAAAAAGCCAGACCGGTATAATTCAATGGCAATTTATCCAATATATTTTATAAATCAATGGACAATAAATTTGACTCCACATTGATATCTGGGACAGACCCAATTGCAGAAAGAGACGACACTGAACATTAACCATTGCTGTTCAGTTCCTAAATGTAGAAGGATTTGATTAGTGAAATATCAACATTTTTTTACAAAAAGGTTACTTGTAATTTCTATGACATTACAAATGAAAGAAAGCATTCACAATGGTTTATATTGTCTAGAACATGTTAAGAAGATTGCAGTGCAGTAATGACTTATTACTTGTCAGATTTCCATTGAACATGCCTACATCTAATGTTAAACACATGAAAACAAATCAAGCTAATATATTGGCCAAAGCTGGGCTAGGTTTTCCAAATAAATATTGAGGTTACACGTCAAAGGCCGGGAATCCTACAGCGAATAACTCACCTGACTCCCCCCAACCTACCCACCCACCCCCCACACCTGTCCATCCGCACCCCCCGCCCAAAATCCTATCCATTCACCCCCCGTCTCCAAAATCTGTCCACAGTCAACAAGGCACAAGGCAAGTGTGTGATGGAATACTCCCCACTTGCCCCGGATGGGGGCAGCTCCAACAACACTCGAGAAGCTCGACACCATCCAGGGATAAAGCAGCCCCCGCTAGATTGGCCCCACATCCACAAACATCCCACTCTCCCCACCACCGACACTCAGTAGCAGGAGTGCATACCATCTATGAGATGCTCTGCAGAAATTCACCAAGGCGACTTGGACAGCACCTTCTAAACCCATAACCCTTTCCATCTAGAAGGACAAGGGCAGCAGATACATGGGAACACCAGCCCCTGCCAGGTCCCCTCAGACGTTACATCACCCTGCTCCGTCACATCATCAGTGTGCCTCTGGTGAAGCATTGGTGTTCTATCCTGCTTGTTATTTATATGCCTCGGAAATAAGGCATTTAAAGGCATATAAAGAACAAGTGGGACAGAACACCGACAGTTCACCAGAGGCGCACTGACAATGTTACCTAACAGAGTGACAAAACGTATGCAACCAAACACACAGGCTCGGCAAGCAACTCTACAACCTCATCCACAACCCGAACTACAAATCTTCTCAAAAGCTTTAAATAGCATGGCATTGTTCAACAAGGGAGCCAATCGCAAAGCAGCATTCCTACAGAAAGCTGACCCTATCGCAAAATTCAGTTATCTCAGCTTTTTCTACCTTTCTCCTTATCCCTGTCTTCAGTGGGCGAGCCTTTATTCTAAGCTTACACCTTGTGGTCCGAGACACTCATACAAGGGGAAACAACCTCTGCACATCTCCTCTGTCAAAACCCTCTAAGAATCTTGTGTTTCAATTAGGCACCCGTCTCTAAACTCCAATGAGGACAGGCCCGACCTATTCAACCTCTCCCCATAAGACAGTTCCTCCATACCCGGGATCAGCCGAGTGAACCTTCTCTGGGCTGACTCCAATGGCCAGTCTATCTTTCCTTAGATACGGGGACCCAAAACTCTTCATGGTGTTCCAGCTGTGGTCTGACTAGTGCCTCGTACAGTTTTAGAGAAACGTCCCCATTTCCTCCACTCCCTTTGAATTAAAGGCCTACGTCCCATTCAGCTTCCCTATTCCCCACTGAACTTGTTAGCTGGCGTTTTGGATGAGGATTCCCCAAATCCCTCCATGCTGCAGCTTTCTCAGCGCTGGTCCCGACAGAACTGCGCTCGTTACAGGTTACCATCCTGAAAACCTGTTATCCCACTCCCAGGCCTCTAACCTTCCACCAATCCTCTCTCCACCAACATCATGGGCTCTTATTGTATTTAGCAGCCTAATATATGGATCCTTATCAAAACCCTTTGAAAATCCAAATATATGGCATCCATTGCTTCTCCTTTACCTAACCTGCTTTGTTAACTTGCTAAAGAATCCTTTCAAACCCATCGGGTGTAACTTCCCTTTACGGAACTACACTGACTCTGCTTGTTAAAGGGCCATTGATTTTGCCTTTTGACCATTTCTTCCCCCATTTGACCCTGCCGCAGGGGGCGGTCGTGCACATGTGAGGGAGACTTTGTTTTTTTTTGTTTTTCACTGCGAGTGGTAATGAGCTGGAACTCGTGGTGGAAGTGGAGGTAGGGAATGATTTCAAAGGGAGATTGGATGGGTGCTTGGGGGGAATAAACACAGCACTGCGCGGCGAAATGGGAACTGACGAGAGAGATGGGGGCTAGCATGGATTCAGAGAGCCAAATGGACTCTTGCCCTGTGTTGCTGTACAATTGCAGACTACAGAAGCTTCTGCTGGTGGAGTGGTGGCTCTTAGTATGTTTCAAATCATTAAAACTGATGCAGAAAATAAACGACGGGGTGAAGAAGGTTTATTCTGGTCTTTAAACCTTTATCAGCTCTCTCAAGGAACTGATCGATGGGTGAACCAGTTCGAGGTCCTCAGGTGTATTAGCAGATGTCTCCAGTCTGAAAGTATTTGAGGTTGCAGATGAGTTGAACGTCAGTCAAATGTAAAAGCCCTGTGCGTCACTTTGAGATGACCAGGCAATATGCCTCTCATTTCAGGTCCAGAGCATAAATGGCGGCTTTTCGAAGCTCAAAAGTATCGTTCCGCTGATCCGTAAAGACCGGAAACCCAGCAAAGCGCACGTACTGTGGGCTGCGTTGGAATACATCCGCCTCCTTCACAACATTCTGCAGGAACCTGTTGCTGCTGAGGGAGGGCGAATGTGAGAGAATTGTGAATTTCACCAGAAGAAACATAACAGCAGCCTTCAAGATTGGTCTGTATCTCTGCTGGGTGTCCCCTCGTCTCACTGTCATACAGGTTCATGTTTGGTCTCTGCATTGTGCTGATGGTCCATTATAACGTTATTGGGGAACAGTACTGTCTGGTTACCTGAAGTCAGTTGAACTCCTTTTGGTACAGCACAGTGGCTCAGTGGTTAGCACTGCTGCCTTATGGCGCCAAGGACCGCAGTTCGAATCCACCCTTGGGTGACTGTTCGTGTGGAGTTTGCGCAGTCTCCTTGTGTCTGTGTGGGTTTTCTCTGGGTGCTTTGTTTCCCTCCCGCAGTCCAAACATGTGTAGGTTGGGTGGATTGGCCGTGCTAAATCTTCCATAGTGTCCAGGCTAAGTGGATCATTGCAGGGAAATGCAGAGTTATAGGGATAGGGGAGGATAGGATTTGTGTCTGGTTAGGATGCTCTTTGGAGGGTCTTGATGGGCCTCATGGCCTGACTTCCACACTGTAGGGATTCTGTGATGATTATATGATTCTAAAGCGACTTTAAAACAGTTACATTCGCTCAAATAAACCAAATTTTCTATGGATTGGAGGGTAGCAAATGGAATGCCGCTGTTTTCAAAAGGTTGGCCAAGAGAAAACAAGGAGTTGTAGACCGGTTAACCTGACATCGATAGTTGGGCAAGTGCTGGAGTCCGATATAAAAGATTTAATAGCTGAGCACTTGGAAAGCAGTGATAGGATTGGACAGAGTCAGCACACATTTGCAAAACGGAAATCATGTTTGACAAATCTGCTAGAATTTGTTTTTGAGGATGAAACAAGTAGAATTGAGGAGTGGGAGCCAATGGATGTGGTTTACTTGGACTTTTGGAAGGCTTTTGATAAGTTCCCACATCAGATATTAGCGTGGAAAATAAAGCTCATGGGAATGGGGTTATAACTGACATGGATAGAGAATGGGTTGGCAGACAGGAAACAAAGGCAAGGAATAAACGGGTCTTTTTCCAAATGGTAGCCAGTGACTAATGGGGTACCGCAGGGATCTGTGCTTAGAACCTAATTATTCACAATATATATGAATGATTTAGATTAGGGAACTCAATGTAATATCTCCATATTTGCAGACAGCACAAAGCTAGGTGGGAAGGTGAGCTGTGCGGAGGATGCAGAGTGTGATTGAGACAAATTGAGTGAGCGGGCAGATGCAGTTTAATGGGGATCAATGTGAGGTTATTCATTTTGGGAACAGGAAGGGGGATTATTTTCTGGACAACAATCGATTTGGGGAACGGGGAGAGGTGCAACGAGACCTGGGTGTCCCCTCCTACACCCGTCACTGAAAGTCAGCCTCACAGGAGCAGCGGGGCAGTGAGGAAGGTCAGTGGGATGTTGGCCCCGTCATGGTGAGAGGATTGGAGTGTAGGAGCAGGGATGCCTCTCTGCAATTGGACAGGGACAGACCGCACCTTGGAGTATTGTGTGTGGGAGGTTTGGGGTCTCCTTATCTGAGGGAGGGGGTTCTGGCAACAGAGGAAATGCAGCAAAGGCTCCCCAGACTGATTCCTGGGATGGCAGTCTGACATATAAAGAGAGACTGGATTGGTTAGAACTACATTGACTAGAATTCAGAAGAATGAGGGCGGGGTGGGGTTGGGGGTCGGGGGGTGCGGTGGTGGGGGTGGCGAGTCTCATAGAAACCTATCAAATTCTATCAGGGACTAGACAGGGTAAAGGATGTTCCTGATGACCGGGGTGGGGGGGAAACCACCCCACTAGCTCTTGCAATCTGTGCTCTCTTCAGCTGGTGTAGAGCTGGCTGTTTTAGAGCAAAGGGGTGGCATTGAACACTGATAAACCATATTTAGATGAGACCTGTTCCTGGTCATGTTTAAAGCTGGGGTTCTTGCACTCTGTAGCACGCCACCTCCGGCAGGTTCATAGGGCCACAGTACAGGCTGAAAACTAAAGTCACCTGTGTTTCAGGAAGGGTCCTATCACAGCCCCCACCCCCCGGGGTCCCCTCAGTCCCCACCCTCAGATATGGCACCGTGATTGACTGAAGTCCTTTTTTGTTGAAGAAAAGGAAATGATTGCCCTGCCTTGCCCCCCACTTTACCATTTGGCATAGAGTCATACAGTAACACAGCATTGAAACAGGCCCTTTGGCCCAAGCTGATCCATGCTGGACATGGTGCCCACTCAGCTAGTTCCAATTACCCGCATTTGGTCCATATCCCTCTTAAACCCTTCCCATCCATGTACCTATCCAAATGTTTTTTAAGTGTTGCCATTATACCTGCCTCCACCACTTTCTCTGGCAGCCCCTTCCTTATATGCACCACTTTCTGTGTGAAGAAGTTGCTCTTCAGGACCTCCTTAAATCCTTCCCCTCTCACCCTAAACCTGTGCCTTCCAGTTTTCAATTCCCCATCTCTTGGGGGAAAAGACAATACGAATTCATCCTATCTATGCCCCTCATGATTTTACACACCTCAATAAGGTTACCTCTGATTCTGCTATGTTTCAAGGAATAAGATCCTGCCCTGGCCAATCTGTTCCTATAACTCATCCCTACTAGTCCTGGCAACTTCCTCGCAAATCTTCCTTGCACATTTTCCAGTTTAACTACGTCTTTCCTATTACAAGGTAACCAAAACGGTACATGATACTCCAAGTGCGGCCTCACCAATGACTTAGGAGACTGTAACATAACATCCCAACTCCTATCCTCAATGTCCTGACCAATTTGTAGCTTGGCCAGGAAGTTCTAACAATTATTGCCTTTGGCACAGGAGATGGTCAAGGGGGCCCAGGCTGCAGGGTCTCCAAACTTTGGGGAATTGTCACTGCCAGTGAACAGGAGACCGACCGAAGAGATCCATGACTGCCGGCCACAACTTCCCGTGGACGATGCTGCAGGAGGTCAGCTCGGATTCCCAATTGATGAAGAGGAGCCCAACGTTTGGCCGGGTCACGCTGTGCCCTGCGTTGGGATAGTCCAACTCGAGGATGGAAACCTGGTGACGTATCCACGAAATGCCACGTTAATTTGCAGAATTGCTGTTTAAAACCTGTACACGTCGTATTCAGCAGATGGCCTTTCCAGCATCAATTCCATTTTTCTATATTTCTGTAGACACCGTGATGTAACTAGTGCCTGTTACTGGCAGTGGGTTCAGCATTGTTGACTGGGCAAGCGCAAATTGTCATCCTGTTATTTGATCTCCACTTGTTTTCCCCCTCCCTAAACTTACGATTTCCACAGCTCATCTACTGCCAAAACCCCCTCTTGTGCCTTTGTTTGACTGTTTCCACCCCCTTCACCCCTCTGTAATCCCAAACTGATCCAAAACTCAGCTCCCCAAGTCTTAAGATAACAAGGTGTAGAGCTGGATGAACACAGCAGGCCAAGCAGCATCAGAGAAGCAGGAAGGCTGACGTTTCGGGCCGAGACCCGGCCTGCTGTGTTCATCCAGCTCGACACCTTGTTATCTCAGATTCTCCAGTATCTGCAGTTCCTACTATCTCTCCCCAAGTCTTAACTTGAGCAGAATCCCGTTCCAGTTCTAGCTGGCTCACGTTGGCTCTGGGTCAAGCACTCACGTTGGTGTTCAAATTTTCGATACTGTTTTCAAATCTCCCCGCCTCCCTATCTCTGTAACCTCCAGCCCTCTGCAATCTCTGTGCTCTTGTCTCGGCTGTTCCCTGATTTTAATCGTTGTGCCATTGGCAGCCGTGCCTTCAGCTACTTGGGCCCCGAGCTCTGAAAATCCCCCCGCAACGCATCTTCCATCTCTCCACCTCCGCCCCCACTCACGGCCCTCCCTTAAAACCAAATGAAAACCAAAAGAACTATGGATGCTGTAAACCAGAAACAAAAATAGAGATTACTGGAAAAGCTGAGCAGGTCTGGCAACAACTGAGGAGAGAAACCAGAGTTAACATTTCGTGTCGAGTGACCCTTCCTCACTTAAAACCAACCTCTTTGACCCAGCTTCTGATCTCCAGCATTGCAGTACCTTGTAACTCGATGTTTGTTATTTGTTATTTCATAAAGCTGCACTGAGACACTTTGAAGTGTTTTGCTATATTAGAGACATCTTATAATTATAACTTGCTAACCATTGTGACAGGATTAAAAATGTACATTTAAGTGATGGCACTGTTTTTCTGGCGCCTGTTTTTGTTTGACTGATCGGATTAGGGGTTGGAGATTAGGATAACTGGTATTAATGATGTCAGTCGGGCAATTTTTCTTTATCTGTGTTTGAGACAGAACAGTTGGATGCCTGCAGTAATGTTGTTTTTTTTTTTAATTGTGATCCAGGGCTCACTTTATGTTCCTGGTTCAAAGCTTCTTTTTAACATTACTTTCTCAATACTGAAAGACTTGCGGGTCATCGAAACAGGTGTGAAACAATCAGAGATGAGATGAAGAAAATAAACCCTCGACAAGTGGGACATGAGTGTTACATTTCAGATTCTCTGTGGCTGGTTTAGCTCTGCACTTCACACAGTGTATCCTGCACCAGTTTCACGTTGGGTTTACCTGTTCTTTCTGGGGGTCATTTGTCTGTAAGAGAAAACCAGAAATTTACTGGTGAAGCTCAACAGTTCTGGCTGCATCTGTGGGAAGAAAGCAGAGGTAATGTTTTGAGTCCGGTGACTGTGCATCAGAACAGATAGCAGCTCAGGACTAAAGTGATGTTATGCTGAAAATGAAGATGGAGAGGGTGTGGAGGAAGGGGGCAGTGGGTGAAAATAGGTTGCCTGTGTGAGAAACAACCCATGTCATGACAGGACTGGGTGTGGGGTGGCTAAGAAATAGGCAAAGACGGAATAAGGCTCTAAAATTACTAAGCTCAATGTCGTGTCCTGGAAGCTACAGGGTTCCCAGAGGAAAATGAGGTGCTGTTCTTCTGAGCTTGCACAGAGCTGTTCTGGAACACTGCAGCAAGCCTGATTCAGATGCTGGCCAGGGAGCAGGGTGGTGTGTTGAAATGGCAGGCAACACCAATTGCAGATGCCATCAAGATTGGTGGTTGTAGTGAACGGCGAAGAAGGTTACCTCAGAGTACAACGGGATCTTGATCAAATGGGCCGAGGAGCAGCAGATAGAGTTTAATTCAGATAAATATGGGGTGCTGAGTTTTGGAAAGGCAAATCAGGGCAGGACTTATACACTTAATGGTAGTGTTCTGGCAAGTGTTGCCGAACAAAGAGACCTAGTGGTAAAGACTCATAATTCATTGAAAGGTAGACAGGATAGTGAAGTGTGCTTGCCTTTATTGGTCAGTGCATAGAGTATAGGAGTTGGGAGGTCATGTTGCAACTGTACAGGACATTAGTTAGGCCACATTTGGAACACTGTGTTCAATTCTGGTCTACCTGCTATAGGAAGGACATTGTGAAACTTGAAAGGGTTCAAAAAAGATTTACGAGGATATTGCCAGGGATGGAGAGTTTGAGCAATAGGAAGAGGTTGAATAGGCTGGGGCTATTTTTCCTGGAGCATCAGATGTTGAGGGGTGGCCTTTCAGAGGCTTATAAAGTCATGAGGGGCATGGATAGGGTGAATAGCCAAAGTCATTTCTTTAAGGCAGTAGAGTCCAAAACTAGAGGGTAGAGGTTTAAGGTGAGAGAAGGAACATTTAGAAGGGATCTAATGGGCAAATTTTTCACCCAGAGGGTGATGCGTGTATGGAACGAGCTGCCAGAGGAAGTGGTAGAGTCTGGTACAACTACAACATCTAAAAGGCATCTGGATGGGTACATGAATAGGAAGGGTTTAGAGGGATAGGGGCCAAATGATGGCAAACGGGACTAGGTCAAATTGGGAAACTTGGTCGGCATGCACAAGTTGGACCTGAGGTTCTGCTTCCGTGCTGTGCAAATCTATGACTCTATAACAGGGAAGCTCGGGATCCTTTTGTGGACAGAATGTAGGTGTTCTGCAAAGCAGTCGTCCAGTCTGCGTTTCAATGTAGAGGAGACCACATTGTGATCAGCAAATGCAGTAAACTAGATTGTGTGATGTGCAGGTAAAGCATTGCTTCACCTGGAGATCTGTCTAGGGCCATGGATACTGAGGAGAGAGGAAGTAAACAGGCAGGAGTTACACCTTCTGTGTTCGCAGGGGAAGATGTAGGGAGTGAAGGAGTGGACCAAAGTGTCCCGTTGGGAATGGCCCCTGCGGAAAACTGACAAGGAAAGTGAGGGCAATATGTGTCTGGTGGTGGCATCCTGCTGGATGCGGTGAAAATGGTGGCAGATGATCCTCTGGATGTGGATGCTTGTGGGTGGTAGGTGAGGATGAGAGGGGGCGAGGGCCAAACTCTGAGAAGGGTCTAATCTGTCAGCCGCAGCAGTGGGGAATCCTCAGTTGTGGAAAAAGGTGAGCATTGTGCAGAAACTGACATTGGAGCAGAAACATTGTGGTTGTACGTACAAGTTTCATCTAAATCGACAGCACAGCGGTAACGGATGGCTGGGGAGGCAGGGAGAATTCAAATATGTTGCGACTGTAGTCGGGAGATTCTCCTTCCTCCAGTGAAGTAAGGGTCAAGCTGCTGAGTTTGTCAAAGTGCTTTGTTTAATTCCTAACTGAGAGTAATGCCATGGACCACGTATCGGGCTGCCAAGAATCAATAGTTGTAACAGATCAGTCCGTTAAACCCAATGACTTTGAATGATCTCTGAGGTTAAAAAATAAAGCCAATCTGAATGAAATGACTTCACTGCAGCACCCCGTAAACGCCCTCATCCCTTCACCAGCCTCTAACTTTTGGGAGAGAGAGTTCTAATTTCTGTGCAACTCCGGATGCCTTGAGGCAACCTGGAATTAAAAGCTAGTCCAATGGCGAGCGTGAAACCATTGTCAGTTGCGAAAAAGTTCACTAATGCCTAACAGGGAAGGAAATTCGTCATCCCTGCCTGTCTGGCCTATACGTGACTCCAGACCCTCAGCAATGTGGTAGATTCTGACCAGCCCTCTAAACTTTGGCAGCAGCTTTTTGCCCCCAACGTGAGGTGAGAAGTGGGCTGTTTGCTGATGGTCAGCAAATGGTCAGCATCTTCAAATGCTACGAGATCCGGGCAGTATCCAGGTTTGGGCTGGTGGGTGCCAAGTGATGTTCACGCCACCCAAGTGCCAGGCAATGGCAAAATGATGGCCTGGAAGGATAATCAGTCGACTGTTTATCCAGTCACCAGGTAATGTGTTTCCACGGGGGATTGTGGAATTTGAATCCAATAAAAATCTGGAATTAAGAGTCTAACAATGACTATTCTGCATTGTTGGAAAAACCCATCTGGTTCCCTTTACATAAGCAAGCTGCCATCCTTTCCTGCTCTGTCCTAGGTGTGACTTGGTATCACGAAGCTTGACACCATCCAGGGCAAAGCAGCCCCGACTTGATTGGCACCACATCCACAAACATAGTGAATAGACAGCATTTGTTCTCAGCATTTTATCTGAAGACGGCTCTTTCATCACTGAACCTTCACTGTACTACATCTAGTCTCGCGTATCCTTCCTTCGTTACGGAAACCAAAACTGCACAGAACTCGGGGTGTGGCCTTGCCAAAGTCCTGTACAATTGTTCTAAGACTCCCTTACTCCTGTGCTCTAATCCCGTAGCAAATGTAAAACCTGGTTATATTTGTCTTAAGAATCGCTGGCTATGTCTAATCTTGCGATTCTTTCAGCATTGTACAATCTGTGGTGAAATCCAGATTGTAGAGGGTCAGATCAGAACTGATGAGTCCTTTCTCTGCACAACCACTTCTTTTGAACCCCAGGAGGCATGGTTGGTAAGTTTGCAGACAACACCAAAATTGGCAGCACAGTGGATAGTGAAGGAGGTTATCTAAGATTACAAAGAGATCTTGATCAATTGGGTCAATGGGCTGATGAGTGGCAAATGGAGTTTAATTTGGATAAATGCAAGGTATTTGATTGGCATAAAACAATCAAGGGCAGGGCTTATACAATTAATGATAGAGCCCTGGATGGAACAGAGACTGAGGGGTTCAGGTACATAATTCTTTGAAATTTGCATCATACATAGACAGGGTGGTTAAGAAAGTGTTTAGCACACTTGCCTTCATTGCTCATACCTTTAAGTATAGGAGTTGGGCCGTCATGTTACGGTTGTACAGGATGTTGGCGAGACCTCTTCTGGAGTAATGTGTGCAGTTCTGGTCATCCTGCCACAGGAAGGATATTATTAAATTGGAAAGGGTTCAGAAGAGATTTGCCAAGATCTTACCAGGAATAGAGGGTTTGAGTTATAAAAAGACTGAATAGACTGGGGCTTTTTTCATTGGAGCATAGGAGGTTGAGGGCTGACCTGATAGAGGTTTAGTAAATCATGATGGGCACAGATAAAGTGAATAGCAAGGGTCTTTTCTCTAAGATGGGGAATTTCAAAACTAGGGGGCGTATTTTTAACGTGAGAGGAGAAAGTTTTAAAAAGGACATGAGGGGCAACTTTTTTTAGAGTGGTTTGCATGTGGAGTGAACTTCCAGACCAAGTGATATATGTGAATACAGTTACGTTTTCAAGACATTTCGATAAGTACGTGAATAAAAAATGTCTGGAGGGAAATGAGCCATACGCAGGCAGGTGGGATTAATTTAGTTTGGGATTATGGTTAGCATGGCCTGGTTGGACCAAAGGGTCTGTTTCTGTGCTGTATGACTGTTTGATCTTTGAGGAGGCTGTCTCCTGGCTTTGAGTCATTTGCATTCCCAAAAGAAAATAACTGCTGGGTAGCTGTAGAAACAATTGATTCTGCTGGTAAGAGAATCCAAAACAGTAGGCTGCAAATCTAGGATAATCGCTACAAGAGCTGTTGAGTGCTTCAGCAATTATTTATAATTAATCTGGATGGCTCCTCTAAAGCCTTTCACAAATGTTCATCCTTCATTCATCAGCAGGCCAGGAGATGATTCTATATCCTGACAGTGATTTTAAAAACGTTCAACTGCAGGGAGGTGAGCAGAAGAGAAACACTCCGGAGAAGGGGATAGAAGGATCTGTCGATAGATCTAGTGAGTGTTGGCAAATGTGGGAAATTTAAATGCCACCATTGGCCAGTTGAGTCCATTGGCTTGGCTTTGTGCTGTACCATCCCTACATGGTACATTATCTGTGCGTAGAATCATACAGTACAGACGAGGCCTGTTAACCTGTGCGTGGAGTGTTGCATGATTTGTGTATGGAGTACATGAAGTACGCCGTCTGCGCATGGAGTGCGTTGTCTGTATATCTCACTGACCCTTCACGCGAGTCTATAATTCATTGTGAACTTGGTTTGATTGTGTTTCAGATCCTCCAAGCGACCGAGGGCCTATGTTCCAACGTAGCTGTCAGGTTGGCTCTGGAATAGTTCAAGGTAAGCAGTTGCTGTTTCAGTCATTGTATGGGTGGAGGCCAGGCCTGGCTGACTGCAAATTGTACCTGTAAGCAGAAGTCTACAGTGATAGCTCAATGCAGCAGCAGCCGCAGGGTGACTGGTGTTGAAAACAAAGTCCCACTGATACAAGAGAGCTGCTGGCACGGTTTCTCATCTCGTCCTCATCAGGACTGATGCACGAATGCCTCATTTCAGAGGGAGCAGCGATTTATCCTGTGAGAGAAGAGAGTGCTGATTGGTCAACAAGTTGCCTCCAGTGACACACAACAGGCACCAGGGAACGGTTGTCCTATGTGTTATTTAATTGTAAAAGGCGGACTGTTCAGCATTGCTGTGACCAATCAACGCCGTTCTCTCTCGAGGTGTAAATTGTAGTTCCCTTTGTAAATTAGTTTCTTGGATGTGTCTTGGTCAGCGCAAGATGGAAAATTGTTGACAGCGGGGTCCTTGTTTATCCAGGAATTATTAGGTCCTGAATGATCGGATAACCATTTACGTTGGCAATGCATCAGAGCGGAGAATATCAGTTGAGAATTTGGGTTCTGGTTCATTGTTGGGAAGGTTGAACAACTGGTGTTCAAAATGAAGCTGCTCAACTGGACTCAATCTTTCTGCTGGGTTTTGGAGTTTCCCCAGGTCCAGCATCCTGAATTACAGAAGTTCACCCCTTTCATACAAAACCTGTTTTACGAAAGGTAACATCTCGTTTCCTGACATTTCAAACTCTTTGAGATTTTAACTCGAAAGAAAGCAGGGGAGAAACTGGGCCTTTGAACATTTCCTGAGGCATTTTAAAATGTGACACACACAGTTGTTATACACTAAACTTGCCATATAAATACCACTGTAAGGGTGGCACGGTGGCTCAGTGGTTAGCACTGCTGTCTCACAGCATCAGGGTCCTGGGTTTGATTCCAACCTCAGGGTGACTGTCTGTGTAGTGTTCACACACCCTCTCCATGTCTGTGGGAGTTTCCTCCAGGTGCTCTGGTTTCCTCCCACAATCCAAGTGTGGAAGCATTGAGTCCACACTGACCCTCCATAGACCCTCCACCCACACCCACCCCTCCATCTTATTCCTGTAACCCTGCACTTCCCGTGGCTAATCCACCTAGCCTGCATATCCTGGACACTGCAGGCAATTTAGCACAGCCAATCCACCCTAACCTGCACATCTTTGGACTGTGGGAGGAAACCCACAGGGGAGAATGTGCAAACTCCATACAGACAGTCGCCCGAAGGTGTAATTGAACCCGGCCCCTGGTGCTGTGTGGCCTGAGTTTCTCTTAAGCAGGGTGTCCATTACTGTTTGTATTGGGTGATGGTATTTAAACGTTGCTTCTGATTGAAACAGTGGCATCGTAACAAGGTCACTCTGTTTTATTTCAAAAATATGCGTTATTCATAAAAAATCTCTTTACATATATACATTGTCACAAAAGCAGTTTGGTTCTGTCCAGTTACATGTCAAGTAAGTAAACAAAACATTTGGCTTTGACTCTATCCAAAAAACCAAAGATCTCTCTTACACACACAATATTAATATTTACATATATTTGAGGTACTAGAAGGGTCCAATAACTGAATGGGCCCCCATTTACCTTCAGCAGGAAGACCTCAGACAGTGGTCTTCTCCCTCTGAGCCTTGGCGACAGCTGCCCGAAGTATTAGTGTGTTCCACAGCGTCTGGCCCTGGACCTTGGAATGTGGCAGTCTGCAACACTCAGTTGGGGGTCACATCCTTGTTTGGGAAGACCAACAAGGTTCAGGCAGACTAAAGAGCGTCTTTCGCAGAGTTGATGGTCCTCCAGGCGCAGTTGATGTTTGTCACAGTGTGCGTCCTAGGGAACAGACCGTAGAGCACAGAGCCCCAAGTCACGGAGCTGCTCAGGACGAACCTCAACCCAAACCACTACATCTTTCTCCAGACTTCCTTTGCAAAGGCACATTCCAGAAGGAGATGTGTCACAGGCATCATGGCAAGGTCATTGCTTGTAACCCAGAGGCCCCTGGGGACACTGGTTCATACCCACCCCAGCTATCGAATTCCAGATCATCTGGAAAGCTTGTCTCTGTGATGGTGACCATGACATGGTCTGAAAGCCCATGGAGTTCACTCATGCATTTCAAGGGAGGGGATATCTGCCGTCCTTACCCAGTCTGGCGTACACGTGAGTCCAGACCCACTGCAGTGTGGGTGACCCTCAACTGCCCTGACAGGCCACTCAGTTCAAGGGGCAGATGGGAATGGGCAACCAATGTTGCCCTCACCCACATGTGTTGAGAAGGATTAAAATTAATTGAGACTTGAAAAAAATAAATTGGGCACTTGGAATTTGTTAGAATTCATAGTACATCGCTGAGTCAGATCTGCTTTGTGTCTGTAGTCTGAGTGTTGACACTGCTCTGTTTGGTTAGGTCCACTCCTATCCAGGCGTGAGGGATATTCGGGAGAAAGTTCCTCAGAAGCAGTGACTGATGACAAATAATAATGTGTTTCTCTTGGATGTCAAAGGATAAAGGGCAACCTGATAAAGGTTTACAAAACTATGAAAAAAAAACGGATAGGATGGATAGTCCGTTTCTTTCCCAGGTTTGAACTAGGAGACATTGGTTTCAGGTAAAATGGGGAAAGTTTAAAGGAGATGTGAAAGGCAAGATTTTTACGCTGAGGGTGGTAAGTGCCTGGAACGTGTTCCAAGAGGAGGTGGTGGAGACAGATACAATTTAAGAGGCAGCTTAACAGATTAATGAATAGGCAGGAATTGAGAGATACGGACCACATAGAGGCGAAAAGTTTTTAGTTTAGCAACGTATCATATGTTGGCACAGTCTGGGTGGGCCAAATGGCCTGTTCCTCTGTTGTACTGTTCTTTATTTCCTTTGTGATGCTACAGATCACCTTGAGACAGCAGCTTTCCTTTTAAGGTGATCATCTTGAGGCAGGCTGCCTTGCTTTCTAAAAAAAAAACTGCAACATTTACCTATCGATCTTGCATCTCATGTGTTTTCTTTCATTACAGATGATGTAATCCCAGAGTGTGATACTGAAAAAAGTGTCTGCAATATATAGATGTGAAATCATTTCTCAACAGTTCAAAAGACTTGTAAAACATAAATGGCCCCATGAGAAACGGGGATTAAAATGAGCATTTACGCTCAAATTTTGTCGTAGTTAGTCGTTTGAGTGACTAGCAAACCAGAGAACCATGTTGCTTGAACTGTGTTTGGCTCGAGAGCACTTCAGATGCCACGAGGCTGCTTGCTACAATACAATGAACCAGCAGGTTCAAGGTTTGACGCTCTGCCAAGCCAGCGGATCTCTGGTTGGCTCATGCTAGAGTCTTGTCCGCACGCTTTCGGGAGGCCGTGGCAGGGGGAGTGCCCTTGAGAAGGTGCAGAGGAAGATTGATCAGAATGGGTCTCGACAGGAGTGGTTTTAGCGACTGAGCTTAGTTGGTGAAGCGAGGGCGGGGAGGCCATTTTCCATGGTTTCTGTGTTTTCTATTTTTACACAGAGAGTGGTGGGCGTGTGGAATGCGCTGCCGGCAGTGGTAGTGGGGTCAGATACTTTAGAGACTTTTAAGCGACTCTTGGATTGGCACATGGAGGATAGTAAAATGTAGGGTATGCAGGGTAGATTGATCTTCGTAGGATAATAGGTCGGTACAACATCGTGGGCCGAAGGACCTGTACTGTTCTATGTCCATGGAGCGAAGGAAATTGAGGGGGAAGAGATGTTTGATAGAGGCATCCAGGATTGTGACCGTTTTGGACAAAAAGAAGCTGCCCCCCATCAGCTGACGGTACAAGTTGGGAGAGGAAGTGCAGTACAGATCCAAAGTTATGGGTAAGAGATATGAGAAAGACTTTTCTCCCTGAGCAAGGGTCATGAGCTAGAACTCGCTGCCTCCGAGGATGGAGGCAGTGTAGACGACAATTGATTTCCAAAGGAAATGAGGCAGGCACCTGAGGGAAATAAACTGGCAGGGGAAATGGAACTGGCTGAATTTCTTTGTTAACAGAGCAGACAATTGAAGAAGATTCTAGGCCCGAAACGTCAGCTTTCCTGCTGCTCTGATGCTGCTTGGCCTGCTGTGTTCATTCAGCTCTACACCTCGTTATCTCAGACATACGGTGAACTGACTCCTTCTGAGACAGAGTGTTGCAGTTCCAGCAGCGGCCACCATCCCTTGTGGCGCTAAGGAGCCAACCAGCCTCCAAACGACTGCCTTTCTTTGACAGGGGAGGGTCCTTGTCTTTCGGAGGTTAAATATGTGAGGGAGCAGTCGAGAGGCATCGGCGACTGGCAGATATGGTGTTGTGCTGCCTTCAAAGCTGGTTGACTTGCCCTGTGTCACACCTCAGTCCCCACCCTGCAAAATCCCCAACCTGTGGTTTTACAATCTACTCAGTCCCAGTGGGATCAGCGCTAAGTATTGAGAGGCCATGCAGTGCTGGTAAGACTCACCGGTTGATTTGTGCGGATCTAACAATCGACTCCATAGAGCGCTCCCCAGACCCCGAGCCTCACTATCGTTTTAAATCACTAACTGAACTTCATGTGTCATCTCCCCATTGGACCTGCTGCAGTGGGAACTCCTCTTAAATGCAGGATCAATTCTTGTGATGGTTTGAGGCTTGCCCTGATCAGCAGAATGAAAATCTTCGACAAAAGACTCCATTTACTCTCTCTTCACTCGGCATGAAGTAAGGTCTTGGCAGAGATTTTTGGGCATTTTAAATTTGTATTTTCTCCCCTCGATCTAATTTTGTTTCTTTTTTTCGCCCCCTGTGTCAAGCTTGAATATAATTCATCATCCACTCTCGGTCACATGTTCTTGCTTGAAACTCATAATCATAGAAACGAGTCGCAGGAGTAGGCCATTCGGCCCTTCGAGCCTGCTCCACCATTCAATATGATCATGGGCTTCTCATCCAACTCAGTCCCTTGTTCACTTTTTACACTTTTTGATCACTTTATCTCCAAGAACTCCTTGAAAACATTCAATGTTTTGCCCCCGACTGCTTTCTATGACCGAGAATTCCACAGGCTCCCGTACTCTGGGTGAAGACATGTTTCTTCATCTCCGTCCGACCTCATAACTGTTTGACTGTGACTCCCTGGTTCTCGACTACCACCAACACCAACGCACCCCGCCACCCCCACCATCATCAGGAACGTCTCTCCTGCCTTTACTCTATCTAGTCCCTGTTAGAATTTGATAGGTTTCTATGAGATAATCACCTCATTCTTTAGTGAATATAATCCTAACCCGATCAAGTCTTCATCCGTCAGTCCGTGCCATCCCAGGAATCAGTCTGGTAAACCTTTGCTGTGCTCCCTCCATCGCCAGAACATCCTTCCTCGGATAAGTAGACCCAAACCTCACGTGCAATATTCCAGGGTGTGTTCTCGCCCTGTCTGATTGCAGCGAGATATTCCGGCTCCTGCACACACATCCTCTTGCCATGAAGGCCAACGTCCCATGTTGCCTTCTTCACCACTCGCTGATCCTACAAGGCTGACTTTCAGCGACTGGTGGAGGAGAGACATCCAGGTCTCATTGCACCTCCCCCCTCCCTTTCCCCAATTAAATACCGTTCCAAAAATAATCTGGTTTCCAGTTTCTGCTCCCAGAGTGGATAACCTCTCACCAATTCCCACTAAACTGCTTCTGCCCACTCAATGAACTCATCCGAATCATACTCTGCATCCTCCTCACGGCTCACTCGCCCACTCAGCTTTGTGCGGATTTTCTAACAAATGGCTGTGCTCGGTCACTCCATCTAAAACAACATCTCCTTTTGCTTCCTGTGGTCAGGAAGTGCCCTTTTATTGGAGTTTGGAAGGTGCTCCTGTACAGTATTGCTGAATGGAACTTTCTGTTGTCTTTTCAGTTAAGGTAGGAGTGCGTACTGCAAAGAGAGTGCTGTGTGTGCCGCTCAAACCTATTCCCACAATCCTGATGATCTGAACGTCACAAGATTGTGTGACATACAGACCTGGGTTTTGTAATATATAAAGCAAAAAATTTTGCAGCAAGTCATGAGAAAATGGGGTCCAGGTCGTTTATTTCGAGGGAATGGAGTATGAAAAATAAAGAAATGTCTTGGTACAGTTTTATCGGGCGTTGGTGATATGTCAAAGGAGGGATATAAACACACTTAGGCCAGTGCAGAGAAGGTCACTCAACTGATATTTGGACTAGCGGCCAGGCATTTATCTCATTTGATAAAGGCTGGGATCTGCACAACCATGAGAGTGCAAGAGACATAATGCTGTTGAAACATCCTGAGGACACTTGATAGGGTGAGAGGATGTTGCTCCCTCCTTGGAGGGATTAGAAAGAGGGGAGACAATGTCAGAGGAAGAGATTGCCCTTTTAAGACGGCGATGAGGGAGGGTATTTTTCTCTGAGGGGCTTGAGTGCCTTCCTGAGGGAGCATTGGAGGCAGTGGTCATGCATTCTGGTGGACAAGGGCTGAATCAGACCGGGTCTGACCTTATCCAGTAGCGGACTGGCCTACACCTATTCCCAATCCACCGGTTTGCGTGTCTCTGTGATTTGGACTTTGACTCAAATGGGGTTGGCGTTTCCTAACAGACCTCCGCCCCCCCCATTGTCAGCAGTAAATTGCCAGAGCTTCCTGTCCCATCTCTCCTCTTCAACGTCGTCCATGACGGTGGCAACTCTGAGAGGATTGGAGGCGCCTGTCTTTCTCCCCATTGCCTTCCATCAGTATGACTTAGATTTATAGAGTGCAGAACAGGCCCTTCAGCCCATCTGTGCCACCCTATCTACACAGGTTCCAATTGTCCACACTAGGCCCATAGCCTTGAACTTTACAGCATTTCAAGCGCTCATCCACATCCATTTTGAAGGTGAGATCCCTCACCTTAACTATCCTCCCAGGCGGTGACTTTCAGATTCCCCGCCAGCTTCTGGAGTAAAACATTTCTCCGCATGTCCCCCTCTAATCCTCCTGCCCCTTCCCTTAAATCTATTTCCCATTTCCCCCCACCACTCCCAGTCATTGATCCCTCCACCAAGGGGAGAAGTTCTTCCTGTCGACCATTTTGATACCCCTCATCAATTTTGTCCCCCTCTAATCATCCTGCCCCTTCCCTTAATTCTATTCCCCATTTAACCCCACCACTCCCAGTCATTGATCCCTCCACCAAGGGGAAAAATTCTTCCTGTCTACCCTTTTGATACCCCTCATCAATTTTATCCATCATTTCCCTTCTCAACCCTGTCTGCTCTAAGGACATCAACTCCAGTCTGTCCCAATCTCTCTTCAAGATCTGAAACTCTCCAGGCCCCACAAGGCAACATCCTGGTGAATCTCCCTCTGCCCCCTCTCCCAGTGCTATCACATCCCTCCTATAATGTGGATTCCAGAACTGCACACAATACTCTCGCTGTGTGGCCTAACTTGTTGATTTGGATGGAAACAAAAACCATTCTGATGGGAGCTGTCACTAAAATCGTATTGCCCGTAGGGATTGCTCTGTCCTCTCTCATCCCAATCTCGGTCTGTCGATTGAGGCTCTTGATTTATGCATAGATTTGCGAAGAAAAGATGCTTTACTTGTAAAACGACACTGCAAAACTGTTCACCAACAATCTGTCCTGGACCATCCACGTTGATGTGACGGTCAAGAAGGCCCAACAATGCCTCTCCTTCCTCAGGATGCTACGGAAATTTGGCATGTCCACAAGGCCCCTCACCAACTTTTACAGATGCACCAAAGAAAGCATTCTATCTGGCTGCATCATGGCTTGGTGTGGCAACTGCTCCTCCCAAGACCGTCAGAAACTACAGAGTGTCGTCAACACAGCCCAGTCCCTCACCTAGACTTCTGAAGAAGGGTCCTGACCTGAAATGTCAGCTTTCCTGTTTCTCTGATGCTGCCCGGCCTGCTGTGTTCCTCCAGATCCACACTTTATTATCCCAGTCCTACACCTTCCATCCATTGACTCCATCTGCACTTCTCATTGCCTTGGAAAGGCAGCCAACATCGTCAAAGACCCCTCCCATCCTGGTTATAATCTCTTCCAACCTTTTCTCTCAGGCAGAAGATACAAAAGCTGAAACGTACACACCAACAAGTTGAAGAACTGCTTCTTCCCTGCTGTTATTAGTCTACTGATTGGAC